GAGGCCCAGAATTTCGAGTAAAGCCAGCACGATAATAAACTCCAAATCCCGCGCTTGCGTGACTGTAACTGAGTGAATTCAGCCACAGTTGAGCGTGTAGTTTTGCCATATGTTTGTTTTACATAAATGTCACCCACAAGTCATAATATTAGATATCTATATCTTGAAGCGTTCTCAAATCTCAAAATTTTTCAAGTCGCCTAAGCAGGTAAGTCAATTTTAACCTAGTTTACATATCTGTAAAGTGTAATATCACTGTACAAGATAAGCCTCTCTTACATAGGACAAAACAAAAGATCAGAATTAAGGTATATATGACTGACATTTTCAAATGGGTCATAACCGTGATCAATCTTACGTTCTTCAGTAACGTCGTAACTACTGATATGCCGATATTGCTGCATTTTTTCATAAATATCATCGACTTTATTCGTAACCAGGGCAGTTACCAGGGCATCCGTCAATTACCAAACATCAAAACTCCCGGGGTAAAACTTCTACTGACGACTGCTATCGCTTCAGTCCATCCAGGGTCCACGATTCCTGCACGGTATTCGAAACGTTGGGAATTTCGTTTAAAAATGAAATAAATTCATAGCCAGTTTCATTTAAGGCGGTGTATACAGTAAAAATAGGTTTTGTTTTAATTTAGTGTCCAGTGATAAATTTGTCTCTGACCTAGGTCATCAGGATAAATGACTCATTTTTGTCAGAATTACCTAATAGGACTAAGGTATTCCCCGTCTACGACAGGCTACTTAAAGTGGACGTTGCATTAGGTTTATAGACTAGCAATAGTGCGAGGTGCTCTTGTTAGTCTGTGTAAGAAAGTGAGGATTTTGGGGAAGGTTCATCCTATTGCAAGGCGTGCTCAAGTGCAGTAGTGTATGGGAGCATGGGACACCGGTGCGTTCCATTTTAGATCCCGGAGTCCCTCCAAACGCACAGAAGGTGGCCACCAACGGGGTCAATCTGGCAAGATTTTAATTTTTGGAAAATGTCGTTTTATTCCAGTTTTCAGGGAATGAAAAATATCACACGAATACGACGGTAAATTTCACCTATTTTCAAAGTTTACTTGAGAATTAGAATAAATAATTTGAATATGAAATGCCAAACATTTATTTTTAAATAAAATGAGAACAAAGTATTAAATACATTATACCTTCAAATTAACATGTATCTTGGGATCTTGTGGTAACGTATAATCTTTAAATTACGGAGATACTAAAAGAATTTAATAAAATAATAACTCGTTTAATCTATCTCCTTTTTTAGTTTAATGAGAATTCGCATATTTTTGACTCATACGCGAAAATATAAATATTTTACCGACCATGCATTATTGTCACGTATAGTGTTATGATTTCGATCTATTTCGATAGCATAAATTCTCGAACGGCATAGCCTGCAAACGCTTGCTAACTGACTCGTATAATGAGATAACTCAACAACAATACTTTGTGCCTTTCACAAAACGGCTCATATATTTTCCACGTAACGTACACTATTTCAAAAATATAGTATCATGTACAAAAGTCGCTTCTCCTGATACCTTTACTAGTAAGACTTTTCTGTTATATCTACTTTATTGAATAAATTATAAATTTCAGGCCGTAAGATCACAAATATGAATATCTTCAATGGTCTATATTTTGAGCGAAATCTGCAATTCGTCATAATGTCAAGTATACTACAAATTGAATTACGTAAAGGCAGTAAACGTAAGAAGTAGCATCTGCTGGAGCCCAGTTTATCAACCCTACTAATATTATACATTCGAGAGATTTTTTTGTCATTTTCTTTAATCTTCTATAATTTTTATGGCGTAGATTAACACTGCATATTCTTCCATAATCAATAGACAGTTTATTTGCAACAAGATTTGGGTGATTCTAAGCCTTTATCTTAAGTCCATAGATGATTCACGGCTACAAAATTCACACAAGTAAAGACTAATTTATGATGAACTGCAAACATATTATGTTCAATTTAAGGCGACGATAGAGAGGGAAAGTCGGTGATATCGAACTCGGGGGAAAATTATACAAGCAGTGAAACTTTATTCAATCTGAAACAACTACACGTTTCGAAAACTAATTTTCGTTCAAGGACTTAATGGTTCTTAATTTTTTCCGTATTTCGATACGGCAAATTCTTGTATGATTTTTGTTATTGACACTTTGCTATGTATTAAGATTGTTGCTAAATAGAAAATTATTAAAATAACTAATGATATCAAGTTTCATCAGGATAAAATACTCGTATTCGAATCTCATTTCAATAATCCTTTTAGATTTCATAAGCCAAAAACTCAATTTTAGTTACCCAGAACAAAACAACAGATTTCAGTAACGTTGTAGCGGAGAACATAAAATCAAATGACGTACAAATGTGTATTGTTTTATTATTATGTTTAAAAATGATTTTTCTTCTTAAATCTAATACACTATCTGAATAACGATTCTTCGAACCTTAAGTAATTCCATATTATAATGTTTACAGTCAGAAATATTTAAGATTACTAAATCGAATAGTATCAGTGCAGTCATAACATGATATTCATAAAAAGTTTTAATTATGATGAACACAACGTTTATGTATTACACAAAATATACCTTGAAAGCTAGCTTCACTTTGTATGCGCAGTAAAATTAGTTCAAACATTGATGTATTCGGAGACTTACAACTTGAAAGCTTGAGTTAGTTAACTTAGAGGTTGGAGATGATGTCGAATATTGACCGAGAAAATACCACCTAAGTGGGTAATGGTTGAAATAAAACATTGTTGTTTTTTTTCCACATTTTATTATTTCTTTTATGTAATTTTCAGAGTTGTATAACTTAATAATCACAGTTGAAACAAAACAAAACTATGTAGGTATATAATAATTAATATTTAAATTAAAATTAGGTGTATTGGTGTCGGGCCCGGTAGCCGATTTAACTTATTTTGTACTGGGAATGTGTGCTCTGCTGTCTGAATTAGTGTACAAGTTATATAAAGTATTATAAATTTCATTTCAGCAATAGATAGTGCGAATTGAATAGATTATATTATTTAAATCTCGAATTTATCATTTTGCTTAAAAACGTAATACATAGGCAAAGAATGTGCGAAACAAATCATAGAAAAAATATGAACTAGTGTTATCTATCATCAAATAGGTATGGTATGTTTATAACTGGACTGAAGAAAAGTACGAATAGATTTAAAGACATCGCAGAGCTTGCAATAGAGAAACTATGGAAATAAAAAGACGGAGAAATTGGAGTACAGGTTCGTTCATAAACAGTTCAAAAACTTATAAAATACTGTTGTATAAGACTGAAATATAAAATCGGACAAACTCTATCATAATTCGTCTATAATATGTACGATTATTGGCAGTGTAATGATAATGACATTAAAAAAAGAGAATAAAAAAAAGTAAAAGTCTGTATGTTGATTTGGGCCTAACTATACGTCTACTTACACGATTAGTAATTAACGATAATTGCTTTATTATTGATAACTCGAGTATTTGTCTTGAGTGCAAACTAGTGGGTGTTCTTACAATAAGATATTCAAGTTTAAACAACCGAATCTACAAAAATCTTAGGCTTTCAAACGCATAATAAAAAATCAGTCATTTTAACACAATTAAGTATAGTCTAAATTTACACAGATCCTAATTCGATGTCGAAGTGAGACAGTTTTTCATAAACCTTCAATTAATTAAATTATTTTTACTATAATCCTTAAAAATAAGTATTTAAATTAGTGACTTTCTAATGGTTTCAACAACTATCTCACGTCAAAATCGATTGAATAATAATCTAGCACAACACTCTTAGTAAGTTATTGATATTTTTCTAGGTGCGACTAAATTTATATGTAAATATACGAATAAATAAAGTGCAAACACTTAACCCTACGGTTCATTAGATTCATCGATAGCGCTAAAATTGGCACAGTCCCATTCATATCGTGCACCGTAAACGTACGAATCGCCTTAGCGCCCATTCATCCGAGCACACAAAGTACTCGTAGGTTCACTCTTCCGGTCTCTTCGCTCAATTTCAGTCGTACATTCGCTTGCACGCACCATTCAGCTTCACAGGATCACGTGATAAATATGCCAACACATAATTTCCCACGATCAATGAATAATTAGTCACCTACGTTAAGAATAGACCGCAGTCGTTCCCAGATACGCTAATTATTTATCAACTAAACACTACATTGAGACGTGGAGAGGAACACCAGTTACTGTACAGTTTACTTAAATTGAAATTTCGATTTGAATATTACGTTACACATTTAGCTAAGTAAGTAGGGTTGGGTGTTTAGATACATCTATCGTATATACATCCCCTCGTGTGTGGTTCTCATTTCCACTGAGCGTGATAAACTCGATGTCCAAACGGACCGTTTAATCTAAAGTCATTATTAATATAAAATATAACATATTCTTTCTATATTACTTTCCAATTGATTCTATGCAGAAGGGCCGTACATTAAAGTGATATCACGTAAAGCTGTGAACTTACAATATACTCGTATAAATTATTCACATTATAGCACACTATCTACAAACACCCACGAATCAAATTCAAGTCTGGCCCTCCAGCAGAAATCACTCTTATCTCGATAACTTCCAATAAAATACTGACTCATAATATGGCTAAGTCGAATAGAAACTTATATCAAATATTTGGTGAGTAATACGTTTTATTTTAAGTTACACAATGTTACTATAAAAATGAGTATGACAAACAATAAGATACTTAAGCTAAAAGTATTTATTCATAAACAAAGTACAAAACTTATGAAAGCAGCAAATCATCTTTACAAATTATCGTTAATAGATCTAAATGATGTATGATGTAAAATTATCAATGCGTGTTCGGTAGCGTTCTTTTGCGGCGGCTGAGAGTGTTTTCGATTATTATAGAGTGGGAGACAATTGACTAATGCGCCGTGCTGCAGGCGAGGTGGTTCCATGTGAATTCTCTTACAGTTGTTCGTCGAGGTCGGGCCCATAGAGATCGGCCAGTTTGTCGAACCGAGGACCCCAGGCGCCCAGGTAGTCATATTCGTGCGTCTCATCGTCGGTGCCTGATAACAGAAAGCAATGAACAATAAACGCTTTTATCGTGAGATCAAAGGGAGTCGAAAATAACCAAAGTTTCTTGCGAATTGTGAACTCTGTTTGCCAGTTCGTTAGGTAGCTTGTTAGAGCAAAACTTTGAGGCTTATTCCGACCTACTTTATTTAAGCACTAAGTAACTTATTTGCTAGCCAACTTTTAAGTCCCTCCATTCGTGGTTTCTAAGCCAATTAGATATTTCTATACCATGAAATGTTATCGGTTATTTCTATGCAGCTAAGACTTATGTATCTAAATTTTAAGATCATGGAATTTCCGTGTAACGCGCTATCAACTAAGCTATGTTAATTTGTCTGCTGTTGCTCATAGATTTCCTGTGGATCGATTGACTAGGATCATTCATGCAGCGATCCCCTCCGACCGAGTTCCCGCTTTGGCGTGGAGGAGGGGCTTAGTAGTCGTGGCTTGGTCACCCACGGCGAAGCTAAGAGGAACCCACACTGGGCCAGCCTGTGGTGTAAGGCCGACCCGAGAGGGCCATTTTGAGTGTTCGAGAGCTCATTGAGCCCACTCTGAATGCGTGCTGGATGGTGCAGGGAAGATCGAAGGTGGTAAAGGAGGAGCCACTCTCCCTGTCTTCTGCTACCGATGAGGAATCGCGTTGAACAGGAGTGTTGGTATTGCGTTTGACCGCTTTCTCTGTCCTCGGCGGAGATACACCGCTGATGCAGTGGTGGTGAGGCCGCGGGGGTAGAGGAGAGTTGGTATTGCGATACGCCATTTTAGAGAGAAGGGTAGAGACCCTCCGCGGGCGAAACCTAGTGAGCGGTGGAGCCACAGACCAAGTCCACCGCTGGGGTCTGGGAGGCTTACTTTAGTCAGCGAACTCGGAGGAGTTCGTGAGCCGTAAAAATGGGTTGGACTAGAGGGTAGTTGATCCTCAGAGAAGAGGCTGCTAAAGAAGCCAGCGCTGGCGAGGTTGCGGAACTGTCGATATGCGCCTGGGTGGAACATCATGTGGGTTTTAGACGGTGCAAGTCCGAAATAACCCGTCCTTGCAACCCGCGAGGGCTGGTATGCGTAGTCATTTCCCCCACATCAACAAAAAAACCAAAATGGTTTCACGCAGAGATGACATACGTCTTCCTCCGGGTCCTGTACTGGTATGAGTTGTCTGCTTCCTCCCGTCGATTTCTATGAAAGCTCACAGATGGAAGATCACGTATAATTACCGGAAGCCAGAGATGAAAGGGAACCGGCGGTGCTGCCGCCACCCTCGTAGGCGTAGTTGCGGAGGTCGTCGAACGGCGGTGCGTTCGGGTCGCTGTCGGCACGGCGCTTGTGCTCCTCGATGAACATTCCCACATTCGTCTCCCCGGGCAGCGGCATGCCCACGCCAGGGGGAACGCCTATAGCCACACCCATTGGGCCGACGCCTAAGCCCACTCCCATCAACGGATCTGATATAAAATACCTTCATATAAATAAAAATAAAATGAATTATACTTTACAATGACGCAGTCGTGCAAAAGGTTTCTCAGCGAAGTCACAGCTTTCTTTGTCTAACACTTCAATACGTATTGCCGTATATGTTATACATACATATATATATATATATATATATATATATATATATATATATATATATATATATATATATATATATATGTTACGGTGGTAGGGCCACGCAGCAGCCTCGGCTGTTGCACGAATGGGCAGGCCCGTGCGGATAAGTACCACGACCTCACAGAAGACCAGCGTAAAGTGCAAGTATGACAAATACTTTCGCGTTTCGTCTGGTGAGTGAGGTAGCCGGAGCCCAATTTTCAAAAGGTTGTCAACACATCTGTAACCCTCGGGTATAGCAAATGTCCATGGGTGGCGGTATTCACTTACCATCAGGTGAACCGTCTGCTCATTTGGCAACTTTTCACATAAAAAAATATATATATAGAAGAATTGCTCGTTTATCACTTTAATATTATACTGGAAGGCAACAACTGCAATAAAAATCTCGGAAACCGCTTCAGCGATTTTCATGAAATTTAGTATGTGCGTAGATTCGGGGGCGAAAAATTGATCTAGCTAGGTTTCATTTTTAGAAAATGTCCTTTTATGCCTTCTCAGGGAATGAATATCATTCGAATATGCAGTAAATTTCGCCGCAAAAGAAAATGTTATAATAGCTCGGCGGCCACGGAGCGTATCACGATCATTACACACTTATTTTTTTATCATTTTCTTTATTTTTTTATTTTGCATGATTTACCAAAAAAAAAAAAAACGTGCAATGCTCGGTCCTCCAGGTGCTAATATTAAAGTGACTGACAGGCGATCTCAGGACAAATGGTTATTGCAAGGCAAAGCTAAGTCAAAGTTCAGTGAAAACCGTTTATTTCGTTCAGTTTATTTTATTTTGGGCGTTTATATACGAGTATGCGGCATATATACGAGATATATGCCGCATACTCGTATTACATCGTGCATCGCCTCATACATCGTGTCGAGAATTTAACAAACTCTTTCCAACAATTTCCATTGAGCCGTAATACCTGTGTTCGGGTGTTCGCCTTTAAATCAATATACTAGAGCAACCTGAGTTCGATCCCCGGTGCCGGCATCGATGAAGTTAAATTTAAGTGCTCAGCGGTAAAGGAAAACATCGTGAGGAAACTTGCATATTTTCGAAATACTAATAAAAAAATATTTCGAAGATAATTATGTGATGTCCGCCAATCCGCAGTGGGTCCGCCAATCCGCACTATGCCCTGAGTCTTTGAGAGCCTTTGCCCAGCAGTGGGACATGCCGATACTTTAATTTTTTTAATAATTAATATTGTACTTCCCAACAATTTATCTATTAAATAATAATACTCATTCCAATTTATGTCGCCTGAGTAACACACACAGACGCTCTAACCAACTTAGTGGTCGAGGCACTCAAAGTATTAAAACAAAATCTCACATTTAAGTTTCTTATTGAGTGCAAGTTAGCATAAATATAATTTTTCAATTATTGGCGCATTCCATATATTTGTAATAAAATAAACGCTCGAAATCTTTTTTAATCAATTAGAAGTCCAAGGTTACAATCTCCCAAATCTTACCCCATGTTTGTATAGACGGAACATCAAGTCGATATTAAGATTTACACAAGCCTCATTAATTGAAGTGTGTATTCTCATTAGTTAAGATATTCCCGTATAATGTATGTATAATACAACATAACAATATGTACTGATTTTCAATTATAAAATTCATATGTTGGGTAGAATACGTGGAAGATAAAGTTTAAATCAATTTTTTGGATCTAACAGGTTTGACGTATATACCTCTCATAGATAATACTGAACTTTTTTCAAGCGAGTTTATGTAGTTCAAATACGAACAATACTGAGATTTGAGTCTCGATGTGAAGAATACAGTTCAACATCTCTGCCAGACTAATCCTAATTAGTTAGTAAACTATGTTATTACGTCTGTTTTTTTATTAAGATTTCAATATTTCATCATGTGAAGGATTTTTTTATCTATAAGAATGTACAACAAAAATATATTAATAAAATAACATCAAATATTTCTTTGGCAATTACGGCTCAAATATTTGAAAACATCTTTCTTGGATTTGAGATAAAAATGAATTTAACAAAAGTGTCGCTCGTTATAAGTTTAATCATCGGTTTGGCTTGCGAAAGGTTTTTCTCTTTTTCATCGCATCCACTCTACAGTGACAAGATGACAAGAAATAAATGATATAACTGCGCCTGTTAAACAAACGTACCTACTCTTTACGATTTACGAATATATCGCACTCGTTCGCGAATGGAATCGGAAGAATTTAGATATTAAAATAGACATCGAACAAAAAATTGTTCCCGCTGTGGTAAGTAACATTTATTTGACATTTCAATATGAGATTTTAGTCTCATCTTTTCGGGTAAAGTTATTTCGAAACATGTAAAAACATATTATACAATTTATAGATACACATTTTTTTTATTATGTCCTTTATTGACGCAATATAACGAATCATTCGCAACTCAAAAACATAATTATGTAATATAATCGAAATGTATAAAAGAGATTAGATTTAGTTTACTGATGTACTTTAAGACGACTGATGTATGTAGATGTACTTTAAGACTTGTCTATAAGAAATCTATTGCATGTATTCTTTTTTCAGATTTCTTATATGTAAAAACCTCTTTGTCACATATTATATGCCTGATACATTATGACCACTCTACACGTGAAGTCGTTTACTTTGAATTAATGAGCTCTATCTCTTATCAACAATCTTTATTCGAAATTTTACGCATTAGATCATATTAAATACTTCATACGGCCAGTAAAGGACCAAGTCTCAGTTCCGTAGGTCAACACTGGCCACAAACATTGATTGAAGACTTCGGTCTTCAAACATTGAGGGTTATTAGACAAGAAGATAAGCCGAAGTTTACAATCCAAGTTGGATTCACTGATTAACCTTTGCGTCGAAGTTGGACTTGCATAGCCAGACTAAAGGCCCATTTACACGATGCCATTTTCTTGTACATACAAGAGCAATAATTGAATGCAATAAGTTGCACGCAATAATTGACCATCAAGAATTGTAAGCAACAGTTTACACGCAGATATAGTAAAAAAAATTGAATGCGATTATTGAATGTAAGTCTTGACAAGAAATAGTTGCAAATGTCTTTTGTTTACACCAATGCAATTATGTTTAGGCGATTATTGCTTTCAAGTTTTGACTTGTCTAAACACATGCTTGTATGTGCGTGTACAATTCATTGGCGTGTTGCTTCAAGAATTGCACGTATTTGCGTTGACAAATATTTCATGCAAGTGTTGAACGTTTTACAAAGGGCTGTTTTTTTTTTTAAAAATGGCTCAATAATAAGTGTTCAAGTTAGATTCTGCCGATTAAATATATTTCATTGAGTTTTATTTATGATCCATATATTATTATTCATATTTTTATCCAACTTTTTTTACGACCTTTTCTCAATATTTCTATCCTCAAAAGAACAGCAACGATTTAATACCCTCACTCATTGCACTTCCGTTACCTACCCATTATACCGCCATAATAAAATAGGTAAATAATTACCACCGATTTTCTCCAGAACGGGTGGACCTAGCAAGTTGAAATATATACCAGAAAAATAAATACCAGATAATGAGGTCTATAGTCCCTATTAGGTGTATAAAAATCAACGTCAACACGATAAAAAGATATGGGCAAATTTAGATTTTCACGAAATTACAAGTATTGCTTTTTGCTAAATTTCGTGATTCTAGGCCAACGGGAATTACCATATAGGTTTTCGACTCAAAACCTGTAGGGTACTTCCAGTTGACCTAGAACTATCAATTTTGGTTAAAAGTAAGTTCTTACAGCACAAGTAAAGTAAAAAAAAAGTTGAAATTTAAGATAAAGTTTGGTACATACCTACAAGTTTTCGCGAAAATCTAAATTTGTTTATCGTGTTGACCTAGGACCTTGATTTTGTACACCTAATAGGAACTTTAGACCTCAGTATCTGGTATAAATTTCAACTTGCTTGGTCCACCCGTTCCGGAGAAAATCGGCGATGACACACGGACAGACAGACGGACAAGACACACTGTCTTATAAGGATTCCTTTTTTACCTTTTAAGATACAGAATCCTTAAAATAGAAACTTATAGTGGCACTTACACGGCAGCTTAGCTGGGGCGTGGTCAGGCAGCGGTCCTCCAATCGGTATTTGCAGCGGTGTGATATCGAAGGCGGTCATGTCGTCCTCACCGCCACCTTCGTCGTCGTAGTTGATTATGTTCTCGCGCACGTCGTCGTCAGGGCCAGGGTATTTGATGTGGGCCTCCCGGCGCCGGTTGTACACGACGAACACCAATACCAGAACTGCGGCAGTGGAACACGCTGTTGGTAAATGTCTCCCACACGGACTCATAACAAATCAATCAATTGACTTCGACTTTGAAAAAGTTTGCTACCGGCTGATTTAAGTATTAGGGGGCTAATGTCATTAATGACAATACTTATCGCTAATAACCAAATCTATCTGTACCTAACAATATTTTGATGTGATTTTATGTCTGAAAAATTGTTTTGAATCACTGCTAAACGTTATATTAAATGATTTTTTCAAGACATAAAACGTAGGTCTCTGGGAATTCCGATAAAAGCCTTGGAACGAATCAAAGTCATGTTTTATTATGATCTCAATTTATAAATGCCCACCCCATCACTGTTTATATAGTATTTCATACGAATATTCTACAATAGTTTCGCAGGTATTATATAAGGAAAGTAAAGTGATTAACCAACTACAATGATAACTTTTCACATTTGAGTGTTCGAGTATAAAAAATCAATTCACTGCTTTAAAACTTCCTAAGTAATTTAGAATAAAACATATCTCAATGACGCTTGAAAGTCGTAAATTTTCTATAAAAATTAAAACAACGACAAAAAAAAGGTTCCCATCATTTCTTTCGAATCGACACTTAAAATGTGATCTACGGTGACAGAAATGTTACCGAGGATATTATGATGGATGAACGCATGCAATGAGTAGAGTGATGGTGCTCACCTAAAAGCAAAAACAAACAGACAATGATAGCTATTATGAAATCCCTGGAGGGGGTGATGATCCCGGACGCGAGTAACTCCAGCTCGCAGTCGTGGCCCGCGTAGCCGAATGCGCAAACGCAGTCGTAGCGGCGCGACGGCTCGCGGTCCACGCAAGTGCCGCCGTTCAGACACGGGCTGCCAACGCACTCGTTTACGTTGACACACGTACCGCCGGCGCGTGCCGAGCCGCCGGGACACCTACACAGCGCGTACTGTACCTCAACGCACCTACCCGCATCCGCGCACTGGGCCCCTCATAAGAAGCATGCACTACATAACTAATATAATATATCTACCATGTGAACATATATATCTATACAAATAGGATGACGTTATGATGTGGGTGCGAACGTGAGTGTGTGACAAGGTAGCCTAATGGGTAGGAACACGCGGGAGGCGTGACTAGGCTATGCTCACTCATTATTATAAGGAGGCAGACGAGGATGGCTGCCAAGGCTCCCATGCTCAGCTTGAGCGTGCGCCCTTCTTGCACGAGCTCGCAATTCTCGCCCCAGAAACCTTCCGGGCAGTGACAGCGGTAGCCAGGCTCGCGGTTGACACACGTGCCCCCGTTGCGGCACGGGAAATATAGACATTCGTTCTTGTCTACGCAACCTTTCCCATCCGGCGACAAAACCAAACCCTCACCGCAACTAGACACCATCGCATAATAAATACACATAATAATCAAGAAATAAATTGAGCTATAATAATATATTGATAGTTAGTAAAATAAGTAAGTACGTTTAATGTAAGTATATGAAGCTTTATAAATACAAGTGAATACTTGGCTTAATTTGTTGTAATTATAATACAGTAATTAAAAAAAAAAACGTAGTATAAACATAAGAAACCCAGTGCGCGTTCATACAAAATTATAAAAGAAATAAAATAAAATTTTGATTATTATCATATAATCAAATTTAAAAAAATCAATTTATTATATTATGATTTCTAGTTCTAAATGAAAAATATTTGATAATTTTGATGGTAGTTTTAAACAGAAAAATTATTAGATAATTTTTTTGAATATGAAATAATCGTCATCCATCCATCAATCAATTCATAAGAGCGAGTTTAAAAATTTCAATACTAATAATAATAATTAACTTACGTGCATTCATATTCATTCCATAAATCAACGCAAACGAAGGGCTCTGTGCAGTGAACATTGATGCATGGGCTGTTAGAAGGACAATTGCGGTCTAGATTTCTAGCCATAGTTGCCTGACCCCATTGAGTGCCATTCATTGCAGGGGGTAATGGCAAATGTTTACCTTCCAATCTAATGTCATCAAGGCAACCTTTCTGAAAATCGGCGTAGACTTCAAATGTTCGGACCCCAGTGTATTCAGCCTTTCCGCCTGCATATACCCCCTCTTGTTTATCAACCAACAACCACTGATGACCATCGAATGTAAATGATTCGTTGTATCTCCTTCCTTCGCCCCCGTCAATTTCAAGGGTAGCTGCGCTTCCATACCTACTTACTCGAGCTATGTGCCACTGCCCATCGTCGACAGCCACGGAATTTAGCCAAACATCGCGTTCTTCAGTGCGTAACGAATTAAGATTATAACGGAAATGAAGTCTCGCATCTTTTACTTCCAAAATTCCATATTCTCTATTATGTTGGTCACTAACTCTAAACAATTCTCCATGTGGCTCTCGCGTCCTGAAGCGCAACTGTATTTGAGTGCTAAACCTGTCTGGTTCGAAGCTTAACGCAAATTTTACGTAACTTTGCGGGCGAAAACTGGTTGGTGTTGTAGGTAAGTTACATGAAGGTCCAGTCCAACCCGGTTGACATTGACAACGAGCTTCAGAAAAGCTACCGACACAGGTTCCATGTTCCCAACATCTCAAAGTAGTATCGGCTTGGTTACAAATTTCTTCTGTTTGAGGACATCCAGCAACAGAATTTCTTGATAGTCCAGGGTGTGCCAGATCGTATAATTTACTATTATGAATTAAATTTCGAATGCATCCATCAAAACCTTTACCTATTGGCATAAACTGCCAATGATAGTGTGTCGGATCGAAGTGATCAATATACAGCCCTCCAATTTGTAAAGGTGCGTTAACATTTAAGTACTCATTAAAGGGTGGAATTGTCCCTGATGCTTGACAAAATGTATCGTTAAACACTGGTGGAGTTCCGTCCTCCATTTCTAGAATATCTGCTGATTTACAGAAGTCAACTACCATTCTTACATTTTCAGTGTCCCAGAAAATGTCGATTCGATGCCATTCACCGTCATCTAAAGACTTTTTAGTTTTAACCCTTAATTCTAAAGTACCTGAACCGAAGTCAATAAGCAGTCGCGGATTACCTCTATCCAGTTCTACAGATATAAAATCTGATACCATAATTTCTTCTGGTTCCGGTGGTACTATAGGTCCATTGTAGATTAGCACTCCTTCAGATTTCCTTGTTATAAACTCAAAGCTCAAGTGGGAATGATCACACATTTCTAAAGCTGGGTACCAAGCCCACCCTGTACCTCTAAAGCTTCTAGAAGTTTGTTGACATCTTGGACCTGTATATCCTGGTGGGCATGAACATGTTAAACCATATTTTCCTTCAATACACCTGCCTCCATTATAACATGGCGAATTTCGACATGTTTCAGCTTGAGAGAAATTTCTAGCTCCGCAGGTGCATTCAGCAATTACATCAACACGCACGCCTACAAGAGCAGTTTTATTTGCATTTACCATATACGGTAAATTACTAATATCAAGAACGTTAGTACAAGATCCTTCGCACATTTGATTTTCATAAATACATTCATCTATGCCAACCATGGTAATGTTTATGCCCACAGACTTTTCAATTTCTTCACGATGCATGAGTACTATACCATTTAGTCTAATCGGTTTATAGAAATGAGCACCATGTGCTGAAAACCGTATATCAGTTATAGGTGGATGTTTCTTTCGAAGTTGGACACTGAATATATCAATGTTATCCCTCTCAGTATTAAGTAAATCCGCTAATTTGTCTTTGAAGATATCTAGTTTACTTCTAGATACACTAAGTGTTTTGTAATTCCAAACACGAATAAAATCTTCGTCAGATATACCAGATATCCGAATTGAACCTGAATTTACAATTGCTTCATGAGTGATTTCTTTGACATAAACTGTTACGTTGGCTGGAACATCGGTCTGCGTGTGTTTTCTGTCGTAGACTTTGAACTTTAAATGATATCTTCCTTCACGTGTCTTATGCTTCATTTGAATCATACCCGTTTCTTCATTTAATGTAAAATTTGGATGTTCAGAACTCTCCCAGTAAAACTTTTTGTCAGGTAGGTCCCAGTCATCCAAGTCATATACATATACTCTTCCAATTTCGGTATCAGGTGCTTGTCCTTGATAGTTATATACAAGTATTTCCTTAGAACCTGGTTGCATTTTATTGTCATTAACATCCCCTATTACAACAGTTAAAGTACTTGTGCCCGTCATTGCTGGGTTTCCATGGTCTTTAATAATAATGGGAATAAGGTACTCTTTTTGCTGTTCCCGATCAAAAGATCTTAAGGAAGAAACGATAGCCATACCATCACCATTAGCACCCTTTTGATCTTGTTCTACTTTAAATGATGCCCTTATGATATCATCTGCACCAGGATCAAGCCGAAACTGGAAAGGAGGTCCATTACTTTTCGAGCGATCATCATCATCAGTAGCCAAGATTTCGGCAACTTTTTTTGGCGTTATATGCTCTGTTAACACAGGTCGATAATCTTTCAAGAAGGTAGGTGCGTTATCATTAATGTCTTGAACTATTACTGTTAAAGTTGCTGTGGCTGTTCTTGGAGGAACTCCATCGTCTATTGCTAAAATTTTTACTTGATGTCGTGGCGTATCTTCTCTGTCTAACGACCTCTGTATACTAACAGTTCCTTCTTGATTAATGGAAAATTGCCTTTTTCTATCAGAAGATCTGTCGATAGCGTAGGAAACCTTACTTTTTCCACCTTGGTCTGGGTCCGTTGCCTTAAAGGTGTCAAGGCTTTTACCAACTTCGGCATTTTCATAAACCGAAACTTCTATGTTAGCTCGATCAAACTGAGGTTTATTGTCATTAATATCCCTAAGTTTTACAACAACCCACGAATAAGCTACATGATATTTATCATTATCATTATCTTCCCCTTTGTCATTGACTTGTATTCTAAATCGAAAACCATTACTTTGCAACTGGTCCTCATAATCCAAGGGTTGAACAATTTTCAATGAACCTGTGCCGTCATTGTTTCTGACCATAGTGAATTTATCTGCACCATAACCACTATTTTCAATGACTTTGTACTGGAACTTATTGGTTTCATCTTCATCATGAACAGTTACTGTAAGAATTGGCATTTCTGGTAAATTAGTTCCATCAGTTTCATCAACTTCAGTAAACCATTCATCTTTAGTGAATTGTGGAGGCATATCATTAATATCTTTAACTCGTATAGAAGCTGTACCCGTTCCTTTTAACCCCCCTCCATCAGATGCAACTATTTGTATAGAATAATCGGGGGTCCTTTCACGGTCTAAGCAACATACTGCTGTTTTTATAACTCCTGTTTCCGGTTCTATTTCAAATATAGGGGAACCTGTTTCTTCTTCAATGACATTTTTTTCTATAGAATACCATAACTTTGCATTATTACTTTCGGCAGGGTCGTCGTAGTCTAAAGCAGTCATTGTCATTACGACCATGCCTGCAGTACCATTTTCTGTCACATTTCCAAAGTAAACACCTTGTGGAAAAATAGGGGCATTGTCATTAATATCCTTTAGATTCACTTGTACGTCGGCATATCCTACAAGGCCTTCTCCCCCTTCATCTTGCGCGAACACAGTAAACCTCCATTGCGGCCTTCCGTTTGGCTGATCACGGTCCAATGGCTGTAACAAAATCATGATTTACAACCAGTCGTTCAATATATTTAAAATCGTGGTTATGATGAATTGTTCCATTGAGTCAGTTAAAAGTATTAGAATAAAATACCTTAAAAATTAAATTCAAATTTTACACCACTTACCCTAAGGACGAAGATTTCGCCTGTCGTACGATTAATGTCAAATTTGCTGTTGGCAGGATTATCTGCATCAATTCCTTGACCGGTAAGGAAATACACAATGTTTTGCTGTCGGTCCTTATCACCATCAGTGGCAGTTACCTGTGTAAGAACTTATTTAAAATATTTATCTCCTAAAAATGTAAGATCAAAAGACGTCACATTAATCATTGGGCAAACTTACTTTAAAGGATTTATTAAAAGAAGAACAAAAAGGAAACTTGATCTTTGCATAGGCTTTTAAATTAAACATTTAACTTTATAATACACAGATTATTTTTAAATAGTTTAGTATGGGTATGTTTAATTATTTTATCGTAGATTCTTGTGAGCAATCAATTTTTCAAAAAATTTCAACAAATTTTTCCTGTTATCGTAATGTGTCAAATTGCAAAACAAAAGTCCAAATTATCTCAAAACATATGGCTGGCGGCCACATGTGTGTTAGCCGTTTATCTTCAATGAACCGTAAGATATTATAACATACGGCATCTACTATATCTAAAACAATTAATTGAAGCTGTGTGGTTATTTTAATCATTTGTTATTAAGGTAGATTATTAAAGGAGAGACACGTGTAGCGTACGGACAAAAACACTTCTGAGTAATGGTCAATCTAGTGGCAAATTTTCATACAATATCGCGATACGTCACGAATGTTAATATAATAATGTGTGAATAAGTATTTATCAATGAAAGGTATCTTATTCGTAAAAATAACGTGAATTGTCTACTACATTCTTTATAAGAAAATTTTACGCGTACATTTTTAACGAAAAAGTTAACTTTTTTATACTGAGATAGTTTCTGAATTAGATAGTGGCGAATATAAATTATAAAATATTGTTTGAATCTTTAAATTTCATGAAGAATGAAGGAAGTTGAGGCATATCGATGGTGCTTATATATCAATATTATATGTATTCATTCATTATACTATGTATATTTTCATTAAGGAAATATATTCATGGACTTAAACTATTTAATTATCGTTTGATTTAAATCATAAGTTTCTATGAAGAACTGAAAATAAATAAATTACTAGTTCTAGTGTAAAAATTTCGTAAGAAAAACTTTACACAAGATAAAAACCCTGTGACTCTCCAAAATGTTTATAGATTTGTGGTCCTACGAATGTATTGAACGTTATTTTAAAATTGAACACGCGGATTTATTGACTCGATGCGAGTTTTAGAACATTATTATATGTTATGTTTTCAGTTTTTCGCTAAGCAATAGTAAACTTTCTCCCCCTCCTTATTTATTCAGTTCAATATAATACACGTTATTGTTGGCTACATCAACGAGTATTATACAAAGATTATCATTCAAAAATAAAAATCTTTGTTATTATTACAATTTTTGCTATATTTTTTGTAATATCCAGCTCGATGGTTTACAGCCAGAAAAATGAAGAGGGTTGACGTGGGCATAATTGCTTGGATCATTTGCAAATCTCAGTCCAATTATAAAAAACGCTTGTCGCTACAAGCGACTGGGGACTAAGGTTTAATTGTCTTTGCAAACGGACCTTTCATGATCTTGTTAATTACGAGGAAATTTCCTTCGAGAGCAACACCTGTGTGTAAAAAGTTTTTAAAAATTAGAATTAATATTTTGTTTATTTATAAAATAACATTGTCCTACATTGCCCTAACTTAATAATTAATATTTTAAAACATTATTACGTTTTAGAATACTATGAATTGATTTTTATTTTCGTTTAAATTTGTTAAACTTAAATATAAGTAAGAATTTAAAAGTTGTGTTGGCAAGCCTCAAACTTGCTAGGATAATTTATCATTTTCTCCTTAAATCTAATTAAATTAAGTAAACACAAACAAAGACCAAGTTTCCATAAGCTTATAGAATTGAATATAAAAGCGCTTTAGAAATTACCTACTTATTCTAATCGCGGAGTAAGATTAAAAAATGTATGAAAAGCAAGCTTCTATAGAGTACATGCATCAAAAGAAACATAAACATCATAATTTATTTTTTTTTCACTTAGCCAAATATAGCTGAGCTCGTAGCTTAAACACCTAGAAGAAAATCCATGCGTACTACCCGCAAAATCATGTTACTATGAACTACTACTCAACCCACATAAATAACTTACATAATTAATACAAACTCACTTTTTCAAAGGCCTGAATTTAATGAATTAATGATTAATGATGATTTCAATATGTAGCATAATTTAAAAACCGAGTTGGTATAGAAAGATGGAAAACAAAATTTTAAAACATAATTTTAAAAACAAAAATTTAAATACGCAGTGGCAGATTTACGAATTTGCCGCCAATAGGCTGGTAAAATTTTGTCTCCCCTCCTGTCCTCTAAAATTTGATACCTTAACCTGTAATAATATTAACAACATTTATTCTGTTTTTAAATTTTGCAACTTTATAATTTGTGCTCTGTCGTCTGTACTACATCAGTTCTTTCTCCTTATTAGCAAGTTTTAGAAGTGGGCTCTCCTTTATCAGTTTTTAGATTATTTTTACAATAAACTATGTAGTGAAGGTGACACGAAAAATATTTTTTGGGTATAATTGTGAGCTTTTAGCTCAGAATTAAAATTTAAAATAAATACTCACTTAAAATACTCAGACCAATATCATCAGCATCGTAAACGTAAAATTTTTTTGCACTTACTTTAAAAATAATACAAATAGTATCTATATCAAATTGTCTATAGAAAAGTTTCTTAACCGAATAGCTATAAAATGAATCAAATTATGAAAGTCTTACAGCACGTTAAATTTTCAAGACTTTTTTTCTCTATGTAGATAATGATGTTTTTATTTATTTCAGGAAGGCAAAAATTTTTGGACCAAATTTGGTGCCCCCTAAAACCTGGCTCCCCCCCCCCCCCCTCCTCAGGCTCTAGCCGACTAAGCCTGCTGCTAAAGCTAATCCACCACTGAAAATATGGGTATAATAAATAAAGGGGAGAAGTAGTAGTAAGTATTTGTAAGGAAAATAATAAATAAAGGGGGAGGATGAAAAATCAAAATATAAATAAAAAAAGAAAATAAAAAAAAACCTGTAACAGGGATCGTGGGAACGGTCCAGTCTCCTCTAGCGCTTGGGTAACGTACGCGCTTCGTGCGAACCTTGGCGGCATGTCATTGATGTCAAGCACGCACACCACAACGCGTGTAGAGTTCTCGTTGCGGCCGTCGGAAGCTACCAGCGTCAGCTCGTACTGCGCGCACACTCACACATTAGCGCACACCATGCACATGCATCAACTACACACCAATTGCGGCCCGCTAATTAATCTTTTGCTTCATTTCCTTTCAAAATTTAGTCTTCGCTAAGGGCTTAAACGTAGGTTTAAATTTAAGTATAGCTTTGATGTATTTAAAATTGGGGGTTATTTACGTCGTGTTGGATCGCGAAGAGATACTATCTATGGCTTTCCCTGACGAATAATTTTTATAGAAACTGTTTGTTTTACTTTCTCCTTTGTATCAATATCAATTTATCAAAAAAAAAAATAATTCTTATGATAATACACAAGTTTATCAAAATTATTAACATTAGGAATTAGGCAAAACATTTGTTAGTTTTATTATTAATTGAATAATATATTTGTTAATTATTAATATAAGTATACACATACGTGATTTACATTAAAGTTATGTCTGGGAGCAGTTATCCAGATTCTTAGAAAAGAATAAGTAGGTCCATAAAACAAAGGCGCAATTAAGTTGGATTCCGTCATTGTATTTGTGTATGATGGAGGAAAAAATACGCTTCCAAAGTTTTATTCTTTGAACACGAAATAAAGCTTTTTTTTGAGTATTTAGTTTGTATATTAAAAATACACTGTCGGTTGTACGTTAATTAAATGAAATTTTACTTAGATTATTTTTTCATAATTTAAAATCTGACGGACAATATATTTATCTTGACTGTTACTGTACAATTATTTGTCAACATTTCAAATTATTTCGTTGATTGAATACGTTGTATATATTTGAATAATACCTAAATTTGATTTATTCCATCAGCGCCTTTGTCAGCTTATTCGTAATTTGCTGAAATTGATTTTTGGTCCACAGGTTTCATAAAATTGTATTGTGTTAAAATATAAGAGAAAAATGTTTTTCCATCAAACGAGATCCTAAAAGGGGATATAAAGAGATTGCGATTACGGAGTTATTCATTTTAATTCTTAGCGGAATACTTAAAAAGAATCCTACTCCAAATTGCAAATACGCACAAAGAAACGCTGTCGCAATTATCGTCGTAATGGAAATGAAAAACATCAAGTGGTAATTTTAAATAAAAGAGTTTATTATAGACAATGTGAGCCTAGGCTGTGAGTAAATAAATGTTGAAATCACTGGGCGATTGTTTAAAGAGCTTTGTCATAGCGGGCAGGGCATTACGCGACTCAATGAATTACAGTGGACTCTACTTAAAAACTGTAAGGGTTTTTGAAATTCATTAACTTTGAAGGCGTCTCATAGAAAGGTGGAAATTTGCGAGTACCGAAGAATTACTTTCGTAATAATCGGTATATGGAAATATCAAAATGGTATTCCTTTTATTGAACAATTCCGAAGATTTTTTTTGGTAAACCTTATTGAGGACTACATTACACAATAAGAACAAAGACACAAAAAAATAACTTGGATAATATAATTATAAGTAGCAACGATTAGCGACGCTAAATGAACTAAATTAAAAAAAAAGTACTAACGACACAGGCAACTAAACGGGACTAGCAAAAACTACGCTTTAAACAAGAGCAACTCATGCGATGCGGACATGATAAATAAACAACGCAAAACGTCAACCAAAAAAAAAAACACTCATGCCATCCTTTTCAGCGCAGGATGTTCTAAAAATCGAGATGCGAGGTTTCAGTTTAAATGAGCGGACCTGAAGCACACGCTTGGGAAGGTTGCGGTCAACTTCTTCGGTGATCTGCGTGCGGTAGGTTGGTCTTTCAAATACTGGGGGGTTGTCGTTTACATCCTTCACGTGAATCACCACCGTTGTATAGTTCTCTTTCAGATTGTCCGACGCAGCCAATTTCAGCTCATACTGTATCCCAAACACATCCATGAGAAAATACACAAACTGAAATACCTCTGTCTGAAAGAGTAATTCCGTTCGCGTCGAAATTGTACTTTAATGTACTTCGATATCAAAAAGTTATTTATAGATGTAGAGACGATATACGTAATTTATTTTAGCATTGACAAAAAGTTGAATTAAAGTGGAATCGACTATAAATTAGCTTTCTCGACTTTCCAAAGTTTTCTTTTTCAGAAGTTTGTTTTCGTAAAAACAGTAAGCAGAAAAAAAGAGTTATTGACTTTGTGTGCCCGTATAAATTTACCCTAATATTTTTCCACCCTTGGACATGATTCAATAAATATATGTGTAATATCTAATTTAGTACAGTTGGAAACAAAGTGACTGTAGCGAATTATTGTTACCATCCGTCAGTGTCACTTGGTAATTTCCTCAGTTGAAAGGGCAAGGGTTGTTTCTAAGTTCATGTTTCGCATTATGAAACTTTAAGATCTACAATTTCCATTTGCATTTCAGACCCTTTCGATTTAGTATTACTTTAGTCTCTCAATTGTAAATGCGTGTGAACTAGTTTACATCCGGTGATAAGAAGACCTGCGATATTACATTAAACAGCTTCTTAAAGTCTGTCAGTCTGTGTTGGTGAATGTTAGAACGTTACGAGTACAGTGAATTATGTAAGTAAAGGAAGTAAGGACTTAATTTAATTGTTTCATTTAAATATTTCTACTAGTGCATTTTTATTGAAAAATGGAGAAGACGCTTTTTTTAAAACACCCGAAGCTTGTCAATCAGACACGCCACATAAGTGTGTTAAAACTAACAATAAGTTTTTAAAAATTTACAGTAAACCTTTAAAAATAAAATGAAAATAATTTGTTTTATGTGGTTTCAAAATAACTTTAATCGTTAAACTTATATAGAATTGATACACTTGCCTCGCAAGTTAAAAATGTTTCTATTGATATTGATATAATTATGTTAGAGAACGCTGAAGATTTCAATACATCCAATTAACTAAAAATATGACCACACCAGGAAGTAAAAGTAGTCCAAGACACAAACGAGTTTATTCCATTAGAGGTTCGCGTGAACTCGCAGTTAAACAGAAAGCCCAGCGCTGAGAGCACGATGGCCTGTTTAAATGGATATTAAAGATTAAATAATTTATCTCGTGAAAAGTTCGATGAAACTTCCTCGAGGCTAACAAAGAAGTCTTGTGATAGCTCAGCGCTAGTAGCGACGCGGGGCTTGCTTCAAGAGCGATACTTGCTAGCTGGCAAAGAAATTATAACACTTAGCTCTCTACTTTAGGTCGTTTGTTTTAACGTGAAATTGCGCTTAAAGAAGGATTAATTCTACTTTAATATGGGTCGCCTTTGCATTAATAAAAATACAAAACGTAAACAACTACGTTTAACTCCCCGGATTACAAAAGATGGTCTTAAATATTTCTTCTAAATTAATAATACATAACTTAAGAAAGTATTATATTAATTACTAAAAAGAAAATTTTTAATTATTATAACTATTAGAAACTCTATTATTACTCTTTATATTAATTATTTTTTTTGAAAATGACAGCTAAGTTGGAAATCTAATCGCTCAAAACAATTTGCATTCGGCAATGGTTACGTAGAGCAAAATCGAGGGCTGCATCATAGCGTGTGGGAAGAAGTCGATATATGGCGTCGCTTTGTCTTAGTGTCAGCGTGTATGGTTCACTATGACACCAGTCATTTGTAAATGGTCACCCCCACTATGTTCTATTTGCTGAAATAACACAATCAAATCGCGCTGAAATCGTTATGACTTGTTTAGTACTGTCCTTTATACACCTGATCTTGAGAAACAAATAGGCACTATATCCTCAACATCTCGTCTGGAAAAGCAGGTTTTATTTAGATGTTTAAAACTAAAACGATGATACATTCGAGCAACATTTATCATCTTTGTGTTGAAATATTAAACGACACTGTAAAGCTACTTTTGTTAAGGATTTAAAAAAAATGTTAAATAAAAATCGTCATCATGACTCAACAGGTCGTTCTAACTAATATTTTTTATGAATCCCCCACATGAATTAGCTTTTGACTTTTGCCACCCTTGACCCTTACAAGGTTTTCTGACATCATTAAAGATTTTCTTTATTCTTCGATTTGTTACTAAGAGCACAAAATGTTACTCTGGCATATTTTCACAACAGTATTTCACAACAGACTGGAGTAACCGTAGGAAATGCGAGCGATAACTTACCCGTTTCCTTGTTTCATAGTCGAGCGCCCCGGCCACGTATATGGCGCCGGTCATGTTTTTGACAGCGAACGCGCCTCCTATGTTCCCGCTCGTGATCTCGTATCGAATACGCGACGCTGCAACAAACAAAAAACAATTGTGAGATATACCGGGAGTGCTAACGTAGAGTGCAAATTATTGAATGCGAAAAATGTGACCATGTTGTCGTGACTAAAATTAAATTCGTAAATAGTCACTTCCGGTACATTCGGTGTCATTTCCTTTGTTTCATAAAAAGTTGGTTTCGTGACACAAAAGGCACACCACTGTTTCATGCGATTAGACTTATGGAAACAAAAATGTCTCTCATAATCGCAATTCCCGCTAATTGTAATTTAAAAAAAGTAGTGGTATTAGAATTTATGGATGAACAAACATGTTTCAACGATTTATTTAAAAAATTACTTTAGGTTAAAAACTTTTTTTTACTTCGATGTTCAAAACTGATTATGATGTACATTGATTATGACTAGGAAAATGATTTATGTTCTTAAAAAAAATTATTATTTAAAAATGTATAGGTATAAAAATATTTTGTATACATTTTTATACTTTAAGCTTACATATTATCAGAAGAGTTTTTATGGTTTTCTTGGGTTAACTTTAATTTTCTGACCTATAAACATCAAAGAAGGTCGTGGCACAAATTATGCCTGTTTATAATAAAAGCATACTAACTCTTCAAGTCTCGACGTAAAAATGTTGAATATTGAGTATCACACTAAAAAAAACGGCTGATCTTGATTTTTTTTATAATGTTAGAATCATAACATGGATTCTAACATTATAAAAAAAATCAAGTTTTGTTATACCTCGTAAAATATTTTCCGAAATTGTTCTGATCAATTGTATTAATTTTTAAAACTAAAAAAGGGGCCAACATGTAAAACCTATAATATGATGCAGTTTTGAAGAATAATATCAACAGTTTTTTCGCACAGGTTTGTTCCGGCGCGTTCTTAATCGTAAAATACCTCTCAAATATTGAACACCCAAAGCAATTTCGGAAATGATGTTTAAGTTTTAACCGTCTCGAAATTGAAAGCACAAGTTTCGCGTGAATAAAATATGTGCTTAAGTTAAAGGTACAAACTTCCGTGTGTAACTAAAGTTGGTTTCAAAACGCGGTCCACCGGTCCGCACGTTTAGCGTTTATCTCACTTAAATAGTAATTGGAATTCCATTACAAGTAATGGTCAGGGTTTGTAGATAAGACCCCTGCGAGTCGGAGCACTGGAACCCGGTCGTTGATCGTTCAAAGATTACTTTCATTTCGCCAGTAACCGTAATCTCCGAGAGAATTTTTGTTCTGGATAAGTTAGGGACAGCGAGTCGACGGAGGCATGTTATCTCATTACGGTCACAAAGAAAGGCAACTGGCCTTAGTCTCAAATAAAAACCGTCATAAGATATTTTATTGTTAAATTTAATAAATGTACATGTATGTTCAATATACCTACATATATGATAAAAGTATAAGCCGATTCATTCTCTATTAACTAAAGTTATGATGCTATACTTTCTATTATTCTGTCACTGTTATCTTATTTCATTGGTAATTAATTCATGTATTATTAAAATAGAAAAGAAATTTAACGAATACTAAACTCGGCGATAGAAATTTAATTTTTATTAATATAAACTTGAAACATAATTTGCTTATTTCAGTTACACTAATCATCTATTACATTTTATACATCTGGCTCAGCGAACGTGGAGGCTCATATCTGATGTAACAAAGCGCATGCTTTAATGACGCGTAATTGACTTAATATAATTAAGGGAGTAGGTAACGTTATATCCCAAGCTCACAAACAACAACACTGATGTTATAGCAAGCACACTGACAGCTATGAACGCATTTCGTATTCTCAGACTAATTGGCCTATAAAGAACGCACCCATTTGCCTCCATTGTGGATCACAATTTCATTTTACTAGACACGACCACAGTCACTTCATGTTAAAATGTTCATGAATATACGTCAAAATAATTTCCAATTTCCTATTGTTATATTAATTAAATGAATATTGTTGGTAGAAGTGAACTAGATTTTGGTTGCGAAGATCTAGAAATATTGAAAAAAAAAAAATATACAGACCATTTCATCTGTCAAAATGACCACGTTTAGAGATCCGTAAAGGTTTAATAATGATGTAAGGTGAAAATATATAATAGATCGTGCTAAGTCATGGTCTAAGAGTTTATGTGGATTATCTTGAAACCTGATATAACAGCTTAATTGTTACCCTAAATACATCCACCACTTTAGTATTGACTTCAGTACAAAATTATAATTCGCTTAAGAACTCCCATCATACTAAATACACGAAACTTCGTGTGGACTATTGAATACGATTACAAAAGATTTGTTAGTTTTTGTATACTTTAATTATTCAAAATTTGTGTAAGCATGAAGTTTAAATATTTATTTACTTCAAGCTAAAGAGTTGGGTAGAGATTTTTGGCGAAAATAATTGGAAATCGATTCTTAATTTGATATTTAATGATACTTTTTTTAAATAAGTTTTCCGACAGTAATTTACGTAAATCAAGTTAAGGATTTTAGCAAATATTGAAGAAGTCTTCATTCACTCAGCCAACCAGGGAGAAACATAAAAATCTTTGTTTACAACGAGAAAAACCATTAAACCCATTTATTTTTACTTATTTTATTTTCAAGTTTTTATATCTCCCCATTAATATGACACAATCTTTGGCACCCTTAAACATTTTTCCTTAACTTGCGTAACCGCTATAGACGTAATATTTTTAGCTACCACAACGCATCTAAGTCCTCGACGACACAATGTGAAGTCCTTACTTACAGGGTTCATGCCTGAATCACGATTCTAAGTTAATAAAGTCCTTTGTTTTGTCCGCCCTTTTGTGTACTGGCAGGCATCTTTTATTTCGTATGTTTTCATGGTGTAGGTTATTCTACAAAAAAGCCCTTGTATATTAAGGAAGTCCAAAAAAAAGTGTGGGTGTACTTACGCACACGCGTTAGAAGTTGTACTTCTTTAGCGTAACAAGATAAAAATCTTTTCAAAAATTTTATCTTTCGTCTTATTCTATGTTTGTAGAAAACGACACTAACAATAAAAAAAGTATTTAATACATTGAAAGTTTTAACACATTTGCTAGTTAAATAAAGTTTATTTAAATATCACAAAATAAATATCGGGAATATACCAAATTTCCGGTCAACAATTCACAAAGAAGTGGGTAAAATTTCAATTACTATATTAGGCCTCACGACAGAAACAAAACAAATCAAGCTAAATACGACCGTTCATAAAAGATATTGTTGCTTAACTTTTACCTTGACCCTAATTTTCAAGTTTTACTCTTATTATTATGAGAATTTAATAATCCAATCTCGTTATGTAAAAATATGTATATGATACCGAATGCGCATTTTACGATGCTCCTGGATCACTGTGCAACAAAATCAAATACTAGGATCAAACGGATCTTGTATACAAAATAATTGCTCAAAACTCAAAGGTTTTTTTTCTAATAATGAGAAATTTTCCGAAGATTTGTGGTGATTAATAATTTACCTAATTTTTATTTATAACAGTCACGTTTTTCTCTACTGTAAGACTATTATTAATATGGTTAACATAAGATACATTCTAGAATTTCAACATAACGGCTAGTAATACAAAATTTCTGTCCGAGAATGTAAAACTGGTAATCTAATTTTTATGTCGTTAGTGAATGCATAAAACAATCAATTTCATAATTCATTTAACGGAACATAACTCTTTCAGTGACAGCACTGGGTACAGAGAATATAAAACCATTTGAAATATCACATGTAGCTATTTCAGTATTTGACTGCTCACAGGAGAACTTCAAACGTTCCTTGTTTTCTTTCCAGAGTCTTCCTCTCGACGCTATCAATATAAATATCGTTCTATGAGTATCCGAGTCACATAAATGTGTTTTGGTTTCATAAATATTAACCAGACACGCAGTATTTACGTTAATAATAAACTTAAATAATTTTTAATTTTTAAAAAATACCACTACACGATTTAGTAACTAATACACCACCCTTAATCAAGTAAGGCCTTTAAGTTAGTGATACTTAATATACATCTAATAGAGACGAATCCTTACTACCCAAAGTAAATATGTGTATGTATTATACATATTTCACGACCTGAAATTCTGATTTCGAATTTTATATGAAAGCAAAAACGAAACTAAAACTAAATCGAACAAACCACTGGGCTGGAAAATCGAATATAGAATAAAAAGCAAAATAATATACCTTTTATTTAACTATGCTTAATAAATTGATAATGACAACTTTCTAAACTCCAATTGCTCTAGCTGTGTATCGATTGTTACTTATTTTAAAACAACAAGAATACTACTTAAATAAGTGAAAAGTATTGCTTCTCGTGCAATTCGCGCCCGTACTGAGCCGTAATAACTCAGTGTCCGGGCGCTGGCCTTTGATTCAATATACTCGAGCAACCTGAGTTCGATCCCCGGTGTCGGCACCAATGAAATTCTTATTTTTAAGTGCTGACTTATCACTTGCTCCGCGGTGAAGGGGATCTGCATATTTTCGAAATAAAAACAAAAAAAAAATTCGAAAACATGTGAAGTCCACCAATGACGGTGCCCTAATGCCATCAGTGCAAGTCTTTGCCCAGCACTGGGACATATATAGGCTGTTAATTTACTTTTACTCGTACAATCTCGTAAGTTATGCCTTTAAAAGGAACACTGAAGAAAAGTTAAAGGTCTAGATTTACATTTATGTAAATATGCAATATGCAATGACATGCAATGTGAAGTTTTCATAAGGGTTTTAAATATTTAAGGGCTAAATTTGATCCATGTATATAAATCACGAGACCAAATATGAAGGGACATGCACAGAGGAATGTTCATAGAAACACGACACATTTTCAGATACAACGGAGCTCGTAAACGAATAGTTTTCTGTTCCAGTTATTTTAAATAGAATCAAGTTCAATTGTTTTAGACATGTCTGCATGCACTCGTTTTACGCGAAAGCGACGTTAAGCCCGTGAAAGAAGTCTGGCATTGA